TTTTTTTGGACAATGGAAAACGCATTTTGCCCCGAAAGATGATTAACGACGACGCGGGAAATGCTGAAAGCGCTGACCCAGTGACTTCCTTCAGGTCATCGAGCACAGCCACCTCAGCTGCAGGACGCCGGTCAGGCTGTGGTCCAAACAGCCAGTCTTCAGCACTAGTGCGCTCTTTGAGCGCGCGAGGACCGGGCTGCAGCCTCACTGCAGGACCCGATGCGGCTGCGCAGGCAGAGTCTCGCAAAATAGCTTCACTGGTAGATTTAGGTTTCTCTTGCCGCCCTGCTCCCCTTCCACGACCACGACCTCTGCCTCTTGTCTTCTTTGGCTCCGGGCGCCCCAAGGTCTCAAGCTTGTGATTCATAGGATCTTCTGCTGCTTTCCTCAATCTTTCCCGAAGTTCTGGGTACTTCTCGTGTGATTCCACAACCATTTTGCAAATCATCTCCTTCACTTCCTTCTTGCTCATTTTCTCCCACATGCTGTGGCCTCGAAATCGAGGATCAACATAGCTGGCGGCCAGAAGCCATGCCTCCCCAGTAGTTCCTTGAAAGTGCTTCTCTCTGACCTTGTTCAAGTCTTGGTGCAAAAAGCGAAGCAAGTGCTTTGGTAGCACCTCCAACTCGCGAGCTTTGCAGCCCTGGCCATGCATCTCACGAAGCTCTCTCGGGTAAGGCAGCTGCGCTGACCCAGTGACCTCTAGGGTCTCCATGCACTTGTGGAAGACCGGGAGGTAAAGAGAAGCTAGCGCTTTGTCATCCCCTTCCAAGAGTTTGGTTCCCAAGCGAAAAGGCTCCAGAACAGCACAGAACTGGAGAGCAACCCGCAGCTCACTCCTGTCGAGCTCGTGGGGCATGTCGGCAACATTGGGACGACGAGTCCTGTCAGGGATGGTAAATGCATTTTTGGGTGGAATGCAAACGCATTTTGGCAATTTTCTCTACAAGTGAAACCAGCGCGGCATGGAAACGCATGTTTGATTTTCTCAGAACAGAACCTCAGCAATGCGTGAGCTGCATTGTTGCGGATGACAGAAACAATCTGCAGCAGGGCGGAGCTCCAACGTGTTGGGGTTTCATGCTGGTAGGCAACGCAAGGCACTTCGGCTTGTGCAGCTGCTGAGTACATTTCATTGTACATGTCATCGTGGGAAGCAAAGTATCGCACAATCGACCGGTACCTGCTGAACGACTCCTTCAGCTTTGCCTTGCACTCCACAGAGGCGGGGTCGCCCTTGGGCCCTTTCACACCACCAGGCGCCATGGGTGCCTTCTTCTCAGCCACCTCTGCTTCAGAAGACGAACTGCTCGAAGAAGACGAGCTTTCATCAGAAGTGTCTGATGAGGAAGAGTCCGAATCCAATTTGGCAGCGGCAGACTTCCTCTTTTTTGGTCCTTTCTTTCAGATCTGGCAAAGCGTGCTTGCAGCATAGCTGCAAACAATGACATCCACACCCTATCAGGGGCGCACCGAGGCCGCGCAAACCCTTTCGAATCGCCCCCCTCGTGGTCTGAAACGGACGCTTGAATGTGCTCTGGCGTCAGCTCCACCGACTCCAACGCTTTCTTGAAAAGCTCTGTGTAGCGATCACCTGCCAGGGCCCAAAGACAAATATGCATTTTCCAGCGTGCAAAAAAAAAGCATTTCCGCATGCTACCACATTGGCCCGCGCAGGGCCCAACAAGCTCACCCAAGCACTCTCCACGCCAGGGCCCCGCACAGGGGCCAAAA